CCGCTCAACCTCACCGCGAGCTTCACGCCGCCGGCTGCGACTGGCGCCATCTCTGTGGCGCCTCTGCCGACGGCGCCTTCTCCTCCGCCGCCGCCGCCAGCGGCAGGCGATGACGTGCGCTCGACACTCGAACTCCTACGATATGAGGGCTACCTCCAAATCTCCGAGAACCAGCTGGAGAAGGTGGTCGCGGGAGGCCGCTTCTCCGTCGAGCAGCTCGTCGACATGCACTCGCCCAACCAGCCGGGCGGCCTGCTGCAGCTCGCCGAGAGTGGCGACGCCTCCGAGCACCACCACGCAATCGTCCTGTTCACGCCGACGGACTGCGACCCCGAGCTCGGCGTCCTCTCCGTTAGCTTCGTTGGCCGCTGCGCGTGCGGGGAAGGCGACCGGCAGGACCCACTCGAGTGCGCATCGGTGCTCGCCTCCCTCGCCGACGGCCTCTCTGGCGGCATCTTCTCATCGGGCATGGGCCTCTACCTGGACAAGGTGCGCAAACTTGGCAGCTTCGATGCGCTCTCGATTCTCCTGCCGGCCGTCGGCGAGCCGGCGGCGGACAAGCGCGTCAACTCGTCGGTCGGCTGCTTCGCCGCGCTCGTCACCGGCCTGCTCGAGACGCTCTCCACCGCTGCGCCGAGGCAGGCGGTCGTGCTCTCCGCGTGGAACCAGCGCAAGGTCTGCGCGCAGGTGATGACGTGCACGGGAGAAGCCTTCCTACCGCTCTGCCGCGACTGCGACCTCGAGCGGTACGACAGCATCACTACGCCGCACCTCAACCGCCTGATCGCGAGCGGGCTGCGCAACCGCGGCCTCTCCCTGCGGGGCATGGGGCTGCTCGTCCCCTTCTCCAAGCAGGGGCGGACGGTGCGCGCACACCCCACCCTGCCATCTCCCACCCGACACGCGTCGCCCGTGGGCTGATCCCAAGACCCGCGCCGGCCCTCTCCATGCGCTCACTCCGCGCCTCGCCCCGTCGCAGGACAAGGCTGGCACGACCGGCGTGCTCCACCTCGACGCCGCCAAGCCGGGCGACGCGCCGCTCATGAACCTCGGCTGCGAGCAGCTCATCGTCGGCAACCTCGGCCACGTCGGCTGGCTGCTGAAGCGCGTGTTCGACAAGAGCGGCGTCATCTCGGTCGCGCACATCAAGGAGTACGCCTAACACAGGTACACCACGGGAGCCGAAGCGACTCCTGCGAGGACGGCGAGGCACTTAGCTCGGTGCACTCGACCGCCCTCGCCGCAGGCAAGCTCATTCACAATCTGCTCTGCGTACTGCGATGGCCGTGTGAAGAACGACTGAGAGACGCTGCTTCTGCAGCCCTGCCAGTTCTTGGTGGTCCAAGTCACCTCATCGAGGTACTAATTAAAAGAAAGAAGAAAACCCCATGGGCGTTTCCCTTCCTTTGCTCTCCTCCCCAACCCTCACCTCCATTAGCAGCTTCCTCCTCGCTCGCCACGCCAAGCCTTTTCTTCGGCGCGTCATTAGCCCACGATCACAATCTTCTTCCTTCTCCAATGCTTTCGACGATCGCCACGCTCGCCGCCCAGTCCTCCGGCACGCTCGCCGGCTCGGCGGGCACTCGGCGGTTGCTCGGCGGCGGCCACTCGTGGGACCACTTCGAGTGCGATTGTTCTTGGCGCTCAAAATACGCGTGCCCGCTCGACGAATTGTTCCTCACCAAGATCGACCGGTCCGGCGACGGCCACATTGACAGGCACGAAGCAATCGATCTGAATGCGGTGCGGCGCCACCATCACGCCGTCGTTGACGGGCGGGCAAGCTCGCCACACCTCCCCGTGCCCTGCACAGGACGGGTTCCTGACGTCGACTGAGCTCGCTGCCGCCGACACGGACAGCGACGGACAGTCAACCAAGTCTCGGACGGTCAAACGCGACTCACCCGATTTGCCGTCAAGCTATTAAACGCGCCGCATCCTCCATAGGCACGAGGCCATCCTCGCTCGCGCGCACGCCGGCACCGACGGCTTCGCGACCGACGACGGCTCGTTGTGCTTCACGTTTTGCTGCCGGACCCCCTCACCGCCGCCATCGCCGCCGCCGCCGTCGCCTGCGCCGCCGCCATCGCCGCCGCCGACAGACTGGTACTCGATCTGGCTGGCTGCTGCCCGGCCCGCCGCCGACGCCGCACCGCCGTCTCCCCCTCCCTCCCCCCACGACGCGGAGGGGGACGCGGAGGGGGCGACGCCGCGCCTCTTCCGGGTGCTTGCAGCGCTCGCTCTCGGAGCGACTGTGGTGCTCGTCCTCTTCGCCACGAGGAGTGCGCTCGTGGCGAGCACGCACTCGGGCCCTAAGGCCGCGCCGGCCGCGCCGGGCAACGGCAGCCCCCTCTCGAAGACGCGCTCCATCTCGTGCGCCTCGCCCTCCCCCTCCCCCCCTCCCCCCCCCCTTTCCCTGGGACTCCCTTTTAAACCTCCCTCATCTGCAAAAATTTCCCCCCCCCCCCCCCTCCCCTCCTGCTGCCTCTCACGGTGCCGCCCTCCTGCAAGGTTCGCCTCGCTCCGCCTCGACGAGGAGCTGCCCCACGACCTGCCGCCGGTCGCCGCGACGCCGGCGATGGACGAGGTGTGCCGGG